CAGTTGAATGCCATAGAGCATACCCTAGAGATTAATCCAGACTTAGCGCAGTTAATTGTCAGCGGTTACAAGTGCGACAAGGATCTTGCTCCCATTATCAGGAGACTGAAAAATTCAAGCCATGACAATCTGCACGACCGTTACCTTCTAAATGAAACACCCGGTTATCTTTATCTCAGATCTTCACCACAGAACAGGTTATGCATTCCAAAGAGTAGCAAACTCCGACTCGCCCTGCTTCAAGAATACCATGACTGTGTGACTGCGGGGCATCCCGGTCGAGATCGCACCTATTTCAGACTCGCTAGATATTTCTATTGGCCCAGAATGGGACTGGATGTAAAGGCGTTTGTCAAGTCATGTGACGTCTGCCAACGAGTTAAAGGCGGCCAGCTAAAAACTGGTCTCTTGCAGAATTTACCAGTGCCCAGTCAGCCGTGGGCGGATATCTCGATGGATTTTATCATGGGTTTGCCTAGGACCGATACAGGTCATGATGCTATATATGTATTTGTAGACCGCTTGACAAAGTGTGTACATTTAGCACCTACTTCCTCTACTATTGACGCTAAAGGAAGTGCTGATCTGTATATTCAACATGTATTTCGACTTCATGGTTTGAGTTCTAGTATTGTATGTGATCGTGATCCAAGATTTACGGCAGCATTTTTTCAGGAATTGTTTGATCGCTTAAGAACGAAACTAGCATTTAGTACTGCCAATCACCCTCAGACAGATGGCCTAACTGAACGAGTAAACAGAATAGTAGAGGATGTGCTGAGGGCTTTTGTAAATCATAAACAAGATAACTGGGATATGCTCCTACCTCTCTGTGAGTTTTCTATCAACAGCGCTACTCAATCATCTACAGGAAACACACCGTTCTTCTTAAATTACGGTCTAAATCCCAGAGCGCCACCCGACTTCCTCAACCCTATTCAGGGAGGCAGAGATTCAGCTGATTGGTTGCAAGCAAGACAAGACGCGGTCAAGATCTCACAAGATGCGCTAGTGGCAGCTCAAGCTCGTCAGGCCTTCTATGCAGATCGGACAAGGGTCGAGGGAAAGCTGAAGGTGGGAGATTTGGTAATGGTCTACCGGGATTTCCTCCTGACTCCTGAAGCTCGGGACCGACCATCCCATAAATTACGCCCCAAGTGGTTTGGCCCCTTTCCTATAACCCATGTGGTCGGCCCGAATGCCTACAAGCTCAAGTTGCCTCATACCAGCCGCTGTCACCCGGTATTTAATGTGTCGGCACTCCGTGCCTACGAGAAGAGCGCTATTCCTAATAGGAGACAGCCTACGCCTCCGCCTATCACGGACCTTGATGGTCATGCCCGCTATGTGGTGGAGAACATTCTCAGTCACCGCCGCCGGCAGAATCAGCTTCAGTACCTAGTCAAGTGGCAAGGCTACTCTGATGCCACTTGGGAGCCTGAACATTATTTGTTGGATGAATCTGGTAATGACATTGTCCCACTTCAGAAGTACAAAACCTTGGCTTCTGCCCGCTGAGTTTTTCAGTTGAACTTCTAGTTTCACCTTACACATTTGTTGAGCTTATTACACTTTATTTGCATGGAGTTTCAGTCGTCTTATTGTGTTACTTCAGTGCGAAGCCTTTTTTCGTCTCGCACGTGTTTGCGCTTATTGTACTCTATTCCACTTGAGCATTTGGGTTATAAGCTCCTTCCTCTCCATAGGAGGGGGATGATGTAACAGTTTTCCCCTGTTCTCTATAACTTTACACTCCCTCGCACCTCATGCGTCTTACGCCTGTCTATTAGCACCTTCATTGGCGCCATTGCCACATGTATACTATCACATTTTGCATATAACTGGTCGAGGCACGCTCAACCAGGCTCTCTTACTTTTCAAGTTTGATTAAACCTGTTACACCTGCCGGCTGAGGGCTATTGCCTCGTTCAGCTGGTCTGTTTGAGTAGTTTCGTTGGTGCTTGTTGGATGTTCTGGTGGTCTTATGCAGGCCGCCACAGGAGCCACAATCTGTCTGGATGCAGAAAACTCTTTCTCGGCCTCCACCGAGGGCACAGGGATTGCCATGCCACCAAACCGCGCTGGTAGCGATAGCAACTTTCTCAGTGCCGACTCATCCGAACACGAATGGCCGCTGAGCGCTGGCAGCAGCTTGTCCGTAATGGCGGCGTCGAGACGGGCCAGAAGATGCGCAGGGCAAGATAGGACGCGCAAGTGGTACCGCCACTTGGACACGAGGCCCTTTACAAACACCTCGTACGCAGCATGTGGCTGAGTGGTGGCCACCTCCGCCAGGCGATCAACCTGCAGCGTCCACTTGTCGATCAAATCTGTGATATACTCCTCACAGAAGACCGTTGTACCGAGTGCGCCGCCAAGATAACGAGCACCCTCGGTCACAACACGAATGCCCGTGTCCCTGAAAAGCTGGAGTGCCAGGGCCGAATGCTGCTCCTTGACAATTAGTGTTGTCTTGTTCGCGTTAGGGTAGTACCCATACCCAGGGCCATGCTCCAGAATCCCATCCCAGTACTGCCTTAGATTGAGGAGCTGTCCGCCACCAGCATCGTCATCAGCATACCATAGCTGCACCACGTCGGGGCAGCACTCTGACAGCTTGTCTATCAATGGCATCATGGCGACCGCGTATATCGCCATGGCGAGAGGATCACCTTGGCAGGTACCCTCCTGACTCCTTATCTCTCCACCACCCGACACAAACAGGCGGCATGGACTGCTGTAGGTGTTCTTGAACACCTGCCCCAGGGCAGGGCAGACGAGTGGCACGTTGTGTAGGGCTGCTGTGCGGTTCATAGCGTTGAAAGCGTTGGTGGCATCGACCAAGAGCACACCCTCCACCTCCGGCGAGACAAGCATGTCGGTCATCGTATGCACGGCAGCTTCACACCCAGACGGAACACCAACACAGAGTTGACGAGGGGCTGTGGCGTGCATGGCGTCATACTGAATTATCTTCATCACAGCTTTGCCTATTAGTCTCCGGAAAACCTCCCCAACAGCGATAGGGCGCACCCCCGGTTGCTTGTCCAGTGGGATGACTACTACTACTACTACTACTACTACTACTACTACTACTACTACTACTACTACTACTACTACTACTACTACTACTACTACTACTACTACTACTACTACTACTACTACTACTACTACGAAAAAAACCCTGAAATGTGTGTGTCTGACATGAATTTGGCCATGGCAACATGCCTCTGAAATGAGGTTGAAATAATAATGGAACAGTCTCCAATAAAGGAACGTCTCCATTATAGGGGAAGTATACCCTAAAATCAAATTTTCACCAGTTGTAGTCTTCTTGGTGCTGAGTCGAATGGTCTTGGTCCGAGGAAGCTGAGACGCTCCCTTCCTACTTTAATCCCAATCGAACTCGCGCACTTCCACCGAAACTGGGTGACTGCGCCCTACTAGATGGGGATTTGTATGCAAAATGTCACTAAAAGCGCCATTTCGTTCTTATAAAAGCACGGATGACCGCGATTGGCCCATATGTTGTAGTCTTTTGGACGCTGAGTCGACTGGTTTTGGTCCGAAAAGGCTGCGATGCAGCGTTCCTCCTTTATTCCCAATCGAACATGGTTGAAGAAGCGGTCACGTGCTCCTGGGTGCCCAAATCACCTGGTCACCGCGCCAGCAGGCGACAACTTTCACACCAAGGTTCAACTCGAGTTCAACTCGAGTGACAGGACTGCACCCAAAAAAGGTCAAACAGGCTAGTAAGTTGTACCCTGCAGGCACGGTGACCAGGTGACTGGTGTACGCAGGAGCACGTGACCGCTTGTTCAACCATGTTCGATTGGGAATAAAGGAGGAACGCTGCATCGCAGCCTTTTCGGACCAAAACCAGTCGACTCAGCGTCGCGTTGTAGTAGGGCGCAGTCACCCAGTTTCGGTGGAGGTGCGCGAGTTCGATTGGGATTCAAGTAGGAAGGGAGCGTCGCAGCTTCCTCGGACCAAGACCATTCGACTCGGCACCCAGAAGACTACAACTGGTGAAAATTTGATTTTAGGGTATACTTCCCCTTTAATTTAATAGCACGGTCCTTTATTTTTCAACCCAGTTTGGCCCCGGTCTTCTATTTTTCGCCACACAGTTTTACCCCCGTTCTTCCATTTTCTTCTACACTGTTTGAGCATGGTCTTCTATTTTTTCCAACAGTTTGAGCATGGTCTTCTATGCGCAGCATGCGCGGTTGTAAGACTCATTTAGCAGGCCCGGTCTTCTAATCGGAGACGGTCTTGTATTTTTTCAATCGCCCCCTGCTCCGGCCTTGTATTCGAGGAAGGCGTTGTATACGAGGATGGTCTTTTATTTGCGGAAATACGGTATGTGTGACCCTATCTTTGGAAATAATTTTTTGTGGGAAATAAAATAAAATAAATCGCTCGCTCGCACCGATTTTCACAGGCTAATGACCTGAGAATCAACTTCATTTTTTACCATGGCCTAATTGCAGATATTATTTGAGTTTTATCCACTTCTATTTCTCATTATTCTATTGGTTTATCTGGATGCAATGAATGGGATTTTTCGGTCTTTGACCACTTTGTGGTGGGTCTGATCTATTCACCTTCCACCGTTTAGGAGCTGCATCTGCGCCTTGATCCAAGAGGGTGGTGCTGTTCCTACGGATGCGGAAACTCGGCCTATAGCAGAGTCTGACGCGAACTGTGATTTTGTGTCATTCTGTGGAATAGTGACACCACGTGCAATATCTATGGCTTTTCCCATCGAAAGGTATGTGAGTCGCAATATTCGGAGTTACGGATACGCCATACCGGTATTTGAAAGTTACGTGCAGTGCCCGGTCCTGGATTGCCCAGACACTGTAATCGAGGCATAACTGTACATGTACCATGTTTTCCTATCACACTCTCCAACAACAGACATGCTTGATAGTTCTGCTGTAGCAGGCTACAGATGAATTGAGCAAAAGCAATTCGATATAATCATCCGGAAATTGTCAATTCTCTACTTTTTTTGCAATAGGCAAGAGTTCTGTCGCAGCATTTTCAACAGCACTATCGGCACTGCAAGAACCGGAAGACCCACGCTCTCCAAACCAGAGGACGAACGGACACGCATTATTCTTGCTGCGCGACCATGAGCAGATAATTACTAACGCAGCGTAGGCAAAGTACACAATGCTCACGATGGAGAATGCCGTCGCGAAACCCACCTTTGCCACCAGGGCACTCATCAGCAAGGGACCAGCGCCGTACCCGAGACCAAGACTGAAGCAAGTCACACCGGAAATTGCCACTCTCAGGCTCCTTACACTACCTACCTTGGAGTTCTCCACTGACTCAGATAGACTGCAAAACGTGCCGATGGTCATGAAAATATGACCGACGCCAAACGGCACCATCGACAGGAACACAAGCCATAGTGAAGGTGCAGTGTGGAAGATAGGCGACGGACCAATTAGTAGACATGCAACACCGACCAAGGCTAATCCAATGATGACAGTCAGGGTTGCGTTGCAGCCACGATCAAGCACCCAACCGACTACCGGACTCAAAACAAATATCACAATGATCTGTGTGGAGATGGCTGCACCAATCACAGTAGCGCTGGAGCTGAACTCGTGTTTCATCTGCGGTCCGAGCAGTGCTTCGTTGCCGCTATACGCCATGTTGGAAAGCACCATAGCACCACACATCAGCCAAACCCACGGCAGTTTCATCAGCGTACTCACACTGCCATCGGCCGCCTCAGACGTCTCGCCATTGTTTCTCGTTGTGGTGCTGCCGTCAGCTGGTGCATTGCTGCCGCAAGGTCTGTCGCCACGCTTTGTCCGCTCCACGTCCACCATAACAAAGAATGCCGCGATGGCGCACACTCCCATGGTCAAGGAGAAAATCACGAACATGTACCGATATCCCACCAAATCGAAGAATGCTCCTCCCAGTAACGTTCCCAGCGCATGCGCACCCGACCAAGCGGCGTTGTTGAATGTGGTCACGACTGCCATTCGCGTGGGGAACAGTCGCATCAGATAGGCGGTAACAGTTACTCTCAGTGCTGCCTGCGCTGCACCTTGCATGAGCCGTACAGATATAGAGTATGTGATAAATACCCTCCAGTCTTGGATCGAATCCACGAACGCAAAGATCATGTGGGATGCTGAAAGCGTACCACAGCACAGCACAGTCAAGTAGCGACTGCCAATGTTCTCCAGATCATACGTTACTGCAGGGACAGATATGAGTCCCGTGATGTCCTTGGAACTGTACACTGCACCTACGGCACTATGATAGCCAGGACCTCCGTCAGGATTCTTGGACAGCGCCTCGCTTGTAAAGAACGGACCTAGACTCATTATGATCAACTGTGTAGCGGCGATAATTACCACGAACATCCCCAGTATCAGCTGTTTCCTGGTCGACGTCAAACCGGCCAGCGTGTCCTCCCCGACACGTGAGAGGGACGCAGTGTCACCAGTACCAGTCTCGCCACCAGCGATGGCACGTGTCGCTCCGGGTTGCTGGTCGTCATATTTGACGGAAGAGTTCGCCAGTAGCGGCGCTTCCGCACCACTCCGTGATGACGGAGTTTCGGGTCGTTTTTCCGCCATCGCGTGGTCGTCTTCTACTGGCTTCATTCCGTCGTCGAGTGTCGGCTAGCCGTCGTCGGTAAGCATTGCATCGGGAGACTGTCTCGAACTCAGCGTGGACAGTACCGCTCAAGAACTGAATGACATGACTTCTTTCAGTCAGACTACTGCCTGGAGTCCTGGACTGGGGTTACGGGGTAGCGCAGCCGCTACCCATATCAAGTATTTTAGTTGTAGGCTGTAGGCTCTACTACTGCAGTCTGACTAGGACTGCAGGACTAGCTCTGCGCTGATTTGCCTGGCGAGGAAACAACAACAAAAATACCACAGTACCGGTACCATACATAATGTAATTATAACAATCAATAAAATTAATCTGGAATCCGAATCAGTACGAGCTGGCACTTCACACATACCGTACTTGCTCAAGTAATAGTTGCTGGGGTACCCGGGTATTGCGCACTCTACAACGTTTTATTAGGCCACACTGAAGAAGGTGTGTGGTTCGACTAACATGGACATTTTTTTTACGGGCGGGCGGGCGGATTTTTTTTTTAAATATATTTTTAAGTACATGTAAATACACTGTACTGCCTTTAGACACCCAGTACATCGGCATTATTACGCAGTGTTATGCCATACATGTTGTATAAAGGGATCACTGGCTAATACTTTGAAACATTGTGTAGCTCTGGAACGAGAAGAGAATAACTTCAAGCTGTGACTCTGACTGTCCAAATCATCAAGCAAATGAAGAACGATGCGAGTTGAAAGTAAGTTCGGGAACTACTTCGAAGTACAAATTGTACAATGTGCCGGTACATGTATTGCTAGTTTGGTGTCGGCGTGCACGAATACATGGGCTTTTTCCGTCGACGCTTCCTGTGCTTGCACACATGGAGCGGCAACTTACCGGTAGATCTACAGGTGAAATATCGTAAGTCTCGCCAGTCTGCCGGTGGTCGTATCGAGTAGACTCTACTACCAGCACAAGGCAGCAGTCGTACCACTCACTGCACTGCACTGCAGTACAACTCCAAAAGGAGCCTCCTGCGTCCGCAGACTCACGCTGCACAGCACGTAGACCTAGACGTGGACGTGTTCAGTCCACGTACGTCAGTCACACGACAGCCCGCCGAAAAAAAGTTACGGTCGGGCTGAAAAATATACGGTCGGTCGGGTGAGTCGAACCACAGACCTTCTTCAGTGTGGCCTTATAATAATTATATATTTGAGGATTTCCCAGAGACGTAGTCTAAATTGAAGGGAGTTCCATTATAATGGGAGGCTGTAGGGTTGAGATAGCAGACAGTGGAGGGCTAATGATTCGTAATGAGCAGCCTAGCTAGAGAAATACAATTATGCTGAATGTTCCAGAATGGTCCTTTACTCAATAATACCTATAGCCTCGGGGTATGCCTTGAAATACGAAATATACCGAAACAGAAACACAAAAATAAGAATGAAGCGCAACGCTCAAAGAAGGAGGACAGAGGCATGTCAGTGAGGAGTGGTGCTACACGTATTTCAGGCCCCAAATCCCAGGGCCAGATGCGCACTATGCACGGAATACACTTCAAAAAGCAGTGCAATGTTGGTTGTGTTGCGAAGAAAGTTTGCCACCTGTGACTCTGAGCCTGCACAATCCATATTCGGTGCCCCGTAGGCCTTTGCGCATAATGCCTGCAGAAAAAAGGGCAGAATTCGGTACTTTTTCTGGTACGTTTCATGCATGTTTGGTATGTGGAAAAAGAAATGGAGCAGAATTCGATGTTTGGTATGTGGAAAAAGAAATGGAGCAGAATTCGAGGGAATTGCCCGCCATAAGGTTTGTATGGTTCTGCCAATTTCACTGCTTTTCGAGCAGAATCTGCCACCTTTTTTTTTAGCAATATCCGCCAATGCCTATCCCGAAGGGTACTGATGACGGCCGCTAACACCCGGTAAACCCTAGCGGTAGATGCAGCGCCTAACCGTGGGGGTGAGGGGATAAGTCTCATAACCACTGGCACAAGTGCCGAGATTGGCCCGAGAAACCCCTTGTGCCTGGCCACAAGTTCCCAGTTGACTTGTGGGTAGCAGCACGGCTGGAAAAAACGTTCCCAGGCAGGACTTGAACCAGGTAGTACATGTACTTGTACCTGTCGTATCTCAATCATGGTCTTTGACTCTTTGACCAACCCACTGTGCCTGCCTATCAAAAAAGTACAGTTTCAAGATGCATTGTACATGTATAATCGATAAAGCCCTGCATAATTATGATCATGGACATGGGACGATTTTCCCGAGTACATGTACTAGTAGACACGTAAACATGGTAAACGTCCAGTGCTGCTCAAATAGAACGAGTGAATCTGTTTCCGCCCTGCACCACTTCACATACATGTAGTACATGTACATGTACATGTACCAAGGGAACTGTGTAGATACTACTGCAGTGCTGGCAACTGAAATCCGACCCCCTTGCCGGCGCGGCGCCCCGGCATGGTGGTCGGATTTCAGTTGCCAGCACTGTAGGGACCGGCGGATTCTGCTCGAAAAGCAGTGAAATTGGCAGAACCATACAAACCTTATGGCGGGCAATTCCTCGAATTCTGCTCCATTTTTTTATCCACATACCAAACATGCATGAAACATAGCAGAAAAAGCAACGAATTCTGCCAATTTTTCTGCCGGCAGAATCCGCCGGACCCTACAGCACGGTAGCATAGTACATGTACACTCAAAGTCAAATGTCTATTATCATGATTATCCGGACGCCTCAGAAGTCAGATACGGGCACGTCTCTCTAGCGGGCACCTTCAGCTGGAGTTCCTATGTCAGAAGGCTTCGAATTTGGGAGTTTTGACACTATTTTCGTATGCACAGGTGCTTATTTGTCACCGCCAACTCGTGTAGTCCACACAGTACCATCAATGGATTCTTTTCTTTTATCCACAACAATTACATGTCCAATACCGTGCCAATACGTGCCAAATAGACTTCAACGAAAACTGATACGGTAGAGAGTCTACATGTACATGTACATGCATGTACGATGAGTTACTAGTAATACACAGAGGCAATATGCTTTGGTTCTGCAAGAGTGCTCAATGCCTGATTCAGGCAGAGCGGCGTACACAAAGGCACACAATGAAAACCTTGGCAAATAATTAATTCCGTTGTGATTAATTTGCCAATTAATTAATTAATCTGCCAAGGTTTTCATTGTGTGCCTTTGTGTTGAGTTACTAGTAATAATAATATCCTGTGATACATACATGTACATGTATAGGCCAATCTGAGATACGGGTGTTAACTCCCGGCTAAACGCAGTCCCCTCACACTTGCAGAACACGCTCCGGGGTTTATTGTATTGAAGCAGTACAATCGAAGCAGTACAATCATGTATTTAGACAAGAGTGATAAGAATACAACAACGAAGGCTAGAGAACCACTTGCACTGGAGCATGCGCTCCTCTTAGTTACTTGATGGGGTCTCATTGCTATGGTGAAGGAGCGGGAAATACGTGAGTGTCTTCTTCTTACTAAGTCTTAGGTCTGGAGCTGCACAGCGCCGCGCGTGCGTGCTGGACTCACGAGATCGTTGAGCAGCACTAAATTGATTAGTGGACTTGCCGAGTTCTTTCCATGGTAGAAAACAAGCAAAAAACTTAGAACGAGGAAACATCAATGAAACGGAACCAGCAGGCACAGAAGAACACCTGGGTGACCTGGGCGACATTGAGCGAAGAACAGCTTGGGAGCATTGAGCATTCCTGGAACTCGGACATTACGATGACATGACTATTCCGGCAGCTATATTATTATCAAGCTATTCAAAGCCTAAAACCTAGCAGGTTGTTTATGATATTGATAGAGCAGTTTTGACATACCCGTAGATCTAGGTGTACCTAAGAACTACTACTACTAGTACTAGTTATAGTGTTTGTAAAGCTTGCTGGTGTTGACTCGGCTGTTCTGCCTAGTACACTGTACTGGCTTGTGTTGATGGGTGTCCATGTTCGCCGAACGTGTATGAAAGTACCAGCACTCCATCCAGCCTTGTCACCTGCCCGCCGCTGCCTGAACTGTGGTGTGTGATGCCGCCGATGCGAAACGCTGGCAGCGGAAAGAAAGCGGCAGAGTCCGAGAGTCGGAACCTGGAAAAGTCATCCACAGCTGCCCTGCTCGACAGTGCTACGGAAGACGAGAATGGCGATGGTGAAGGTCCAGGCGATTCGGCTGTTGCGCGTGGCATCTCCCCTTCCAGGCGTGTGTTTATCTTGACGAGTCTGGCAGCTGGGTCGTTCAGCAGCAATCTCAACTCCTTCGCTGCGTTCTTCACCACGGCTGCATTGGATAAGCACCCAAGCGGGGGTGCGGACTACCATGCAGCCGTCGGAGCCGTGTATAGTATCTCATTTATAGCCGGAGCCATGGCCATCCCGCTGTTGACCAAGGATCTACCAAACATCGGCAGTAAGAACCTTATGGTACTGAGCTACTTCGTGACGGGAGCGACACAGTTGATGTTCGCCTATGTAGGTGAAATCCAGGACTGGCGCGTGTTTCTCACCTATTGCTATTGTATACGTATACTGCAGGGTGTTGCATACGTCACGTCCTCAGTGGCCGTCATGTCCTATCTAACCAGGTTGTACCCGGCCGATCTCGGCTTCGTCAACGGCTTCCAGATCACGTTTCTCGGCTCGGGCCACATCACTGGCATTCTCCTAAGTGGCTTGATGTACGACATCGGCGGCTTCAAGGCGCCGTTCTTAACGTCCGGCGTGCTTCTCCTGATAGTCAGTGCTCTGGTGTTGTGCATACTGGTGGACATTGACACGGTCGATGGCCGGGCCCGGTCCAGCGCGGCGGATGTGGAAAAGGTGGTCGGCGTGCGAACGACACTGCGTTCGCCGTGGGTCTGGCTGATGTCGTGTCTGCTGGTGCTGCTGTCGTTCGGCTACGGCGGCCTAGAGGCCAACCTGGGCCCGCGCATGCGCACCTCTCTGCACTCGCCGGCGGTGTTGGTGGGTGTGGTGCTGGCCGTGAAAGCTCTGATGGTGACGATATCCGCACCGCTGGTCGGCAGTGCTCTGGATCGCGGTGTCAATGCCGCTCTGCTCCAGGTCGTCGGGTTGCTGCTGACGGCATGCGGGTTTCTCCTCACAGCGCCGGCCACATTCCTTCACCTCTCGCCGTCTCTCTGGATGCTCTTCGTCGGCGTGGTGCCGCTGAGCATCGGGACCATACTCATCCGAGTGTCGTGCGTCGTCAGCATGACTCAGCACCTGGAACGCACTGGGGTCGGCACGGCAACGGAGCTGCGGGTGGCGGTCGCCGGCCTGTCGCGCTTCGCCATCACCGTGGGTTACGTGCTCGGCCCGCTCGTGTTCAGCGCGACGATAGCCGTCGCGGGCTTTGCGCTGACTCTCACCGTGGTGGGGTTCATGCACGCGTGCGTGGCCGGTGTGGTGGCCGTACTTGTCTGGTTCCATCATGTGGCGCTGAACGTCAGTAACAAGCGAGCGGACTTTGTCAAATTGGAATATGCTGACGAGAACGATGACCTCTAGCCCAGTCCAAGCGTAACAACACACTCGGTGTGCCCTTGCATAGGGATAGCAGGCAGCAAGTTACAGATGCAGGGCAACAACTTGCAATGTGTTTGCCTGCAATGCAAGCCAAGTAAGTCGAACTGTTTTCTGGTACTCATGCGATACAGTAAGACATGTAAATATAACGAGGGAGCAAATCTAACGTTCTAACGGGTGACATTTCTTCGTTATAATAAGATCTGTTGAGACCGTAAGGCCATAACGTATATGTGAGATGTGTGGATATTCCTGAAGACTGCAAAGTCGTTATCGTATGTTCTCGATGACCTATGGATATTGGACAATTGTTAAATTTGTGACTCGTTTTAGTAACTTACAGTAACGCCTACAAGTACTGTATTATACGGCGTATAGTCACACTTTAAGACGTATATCACGATTGGCAAACATACGAATATGTACAGGGTAGATATCTGTATTTCCTGACAAAAAAATCTGAAAAAATCTGGACACGGCTTATACTCCGGTGCGGCGTTTACTGCAGAATATACGGTACTTGACAATCTACTGCTATCTCCTTTTCGGATTCAAACAATTTCTCTTCATTTACTTATGCAATGCAGCTCTAATGGTATGTGGAGTTGACGTCTTCATGTGTCTGGCCTGGTTGGCAAGTTGGTTTGTGGGTTGTTGACATTCAGTCGGTGTTGGATTTATCATGCAGAAGGCCGACTGGCTCTCCGTGTGGCCGGCCTGTTTATGCGGCGGATTGGTTTTTCCAGACAGGAAACCCTTTGATTCCTTGATTCTAATAAGATTGGCCCATGGGCACTTCTAGCAACAGAAGAAGAATTTAGAAAGCTAAGCTACCACCCACAGCTCTCCATTATTTATTCACTGTCGCTGTTGTTGAGAACAACACCACGTCAGTTACGGAAGTATTTTAACTTCATTGGCTCTGCTACTTTGTACCAGTCTAGGTTGAGTTTTATTCCGTAAAGGCCAGAACTAGTGGACGTGTGTTTGAGTAGCAAAGAAACCCCTGACACCTTAAAAAGCTAAGCTATCACCCACAGCCCTCCATTCTGTATCCACTGTCGCTGTTGTTGAGAACAACACCACGTTTTCAGGAGTATTGTAACTAGTTACTTCATTGGCTCTGTTACTTTGTACCAGTCTTGGTTGAGTTTTATTCAGCACAGGCCAGAACTAGTGGACGTGTGTTTGAGTGGCAAAGAAACTCTGAAACATTAACCCATTCAACTATACCCTAGCTAGAATGTAGGAGTGAATGCCACAGATCCAGTGTTCTCCTGCTACTTGTCGTGATACTTCACCTCACCGCCATAGCTTTATAGCACCTACACGCCCTTTGTAGTCCCCTATGTTCTCTTGCTGCTGCTGCTGCTGTTGTTGTTGTTGTTATTGTTGTTGTTGTTGTTGTTGTTGTCGTCGTTGTCGTTGTCGTTGTCGTTGTCGTTGTCGTTGTTGTTGTTGTTGTTGTTGTTGTTGTTGTTGTTGTTTCAAACCTTTATTCTCACTATGGCCTGTGGCCAATAAGAGATAACAATTATAGTGAGATTAGTATGATGCGGAAACTTCATGGCTAGCAGTGATCAAATTAGATGTACGGGTGAGCTATTGTTGTTGTTGTTGTTGTTGTTGTTGTTGTTGTTGTTGTTGTTGTTGTTGTTGTTGTTGTTGTTGTTGTTGTTGTTGTTGTTGTTGTTGTTGTTGTTGTTGTTGTTGTTGTTGTTGTTGTTGTTGTTGTTGTTGTTTTTTCATTTATTTATTAAACTCAATCTCGTAGCATGTGCACGGATTGCTAATGTGGGGAGCAACCCCAGAGATGAGGGCGATAACCAGCCATGGTAAAAGTACAAAAGAAAACAAGAAAACAGTGGAAAGAAAGGAACCGGGAGGAAAACAAAGCTCAGCCAATTAAGTGAGATAGCCGGAAATTACATTGTTTAGCTAAACACGCGTGAGTGCTGCAGGAAAACGCAACTCAGTACAAACAACTTGGCGAAACTGAGACATGCTGTGGCAGTGATGGGCGAGGCTTGATAGCTTGAGCCAGTCAGACTAGGAATGAAACAAAGGGGATTTTGTAAACTGGACAGTGCGAGCTGCAGGTAGCGAGACTTGTGCCCTTGTTGAACGGCTCCGCACAAACCAGTCATAGGGAAAAAGATGCCTTGGCACTTTCTCGAGTTTTATCTTTTGAATTAGCATGTTGCTGTGGAGACTGCGTCGAATAGAAAGGGGGCAAACACGAGCGAGAACATAGAGTTGTGCAGAGGAGAAATCACGGGGCAAGCAAAATAGCATTTTTAATAATTTTCGTTGGCAAACTTCGAGCTTGTCTGATATCGTGGTTGATAACCCACACCACGCTACGTCACAGTAGTCGAAGATCGGACAAATATACAAAGAGAAAAACAGAGATCTACAGTCGTGAGGCAGATAACGGCAGTGAGGCTTCAGAGTTCCTAAAATTCTGGATGCTTTAAGGCAAATATGGTCAGCATGTTCGGACCATGATAGCTTCGAGTCAAGAACGATTCCCAGGTGCCGGTGAGAAGTTACAACTTCCAGGGCCTGGGTGCAGTTCGGAAACGTCAATGGTGCAGATGGTGGACGTGCAGAAATATACAACACTTTTGTCTTCTGGACATTGGGCTGTAGCTTCCAGATCTTCATCCAGTTTACCACGTCATCGATGCCCTGCTGGAGCGATACCGTTAGTTCGTGCTCGGTGTTGTTGTTGTTGTTGTTGTTGTTGTTGTTGTTGTTGTTGTTGTTGTTGTTGTTGTTGTTGTTGTTGTTGTTGTTGTTGTTGTTGTTGTTGTTGTTGTTGTTGTTGTTGTTGTTGTTGTTGTTGTTGTTGTTGTTGTTGTTGTTGTTGTTGTTGTTGTTGTTGTTGTTGTTGTTGTTGTTGTTGTTGTTGTTGTTGCTGTTGCTGTTGCTGTTGCTGTTGCTGTTGCTGTTGCTGTTGCTGTTGTTGTTGTTGTTGTTGTTGTTGTTGTTGTTGTTGTTGTTGTTGTTGTTGTTGTTGTTGTTGTTGTTGTTGTTGCTGTTGCTGTTGCTGTTGCTGTTGCTGTTGCTGTTGATGTTGCTGTTGCTGTTGCTGTTGTTGTTGTTGTTGTTGTTGTTGTTGTTGTTGTTGTTGATGTTGCTGTTGCTGTTGCTGTTGCTGTTGTTCTTGTTGTTGTTGTTGTTGTCGTTCTCTTCCATTCTATGTAGGCGTGTGCACTTTCATAATAAAATTCCTTCCGGAGCTACTGAATCCTCTAAGTTCTCCTTGATCCCGGAGGAGAGCGGAGGTGTTTCTCGCTGTAGGGGTGTGGACCATTCAGCCCGTGACTGACTCGTCAATCGTCACTGAGTCTCACGCGAACCTATTCTCGATGTTTCTGGGTGGTCAACAGATGGGGTCCGGCGGATTCTGCCGGTAGAAAAATTGGCAGAATTCGGTACTTTTTCTGGTACGTTTCATGCATGTTTGGTATGTGGATAAAAAATGGAGCAGAATTCGAGGAATTGCCCGCCATAAGGTTTGTATGGTTCTGCCAATTTCACTGCTTTTCGAGCAGAATCTGCCACCTTTTCGAGCAGAATCCGCCGGTCCCTATCAACAGACACTGGTGTATGCACTGGGCAGTAGGTACTATGTACATGTATTAAATTTTACACAAAGGCAGAACAACAGAGACCAAAAATCTTTCTCGTAACTCGGAATTTCGTGTTCATAAACACTCATCAGACGTAGATATGTATACATGTGTTACGTGTGTATCTACTGCCTTGCTTTCTGTGGGAAGTTGATTGGGACATGATTGTTCCGGTATGGGCTACTGAATTTCGTGATGCAAAGATCTGAGACTGAGGAGCCTTGGCATTAAATGGCCAATGTTGCATCAAACCTTCCATAGCTACTTGTATTTCAATGTAGGCCATAGATGGGCCATGCGGTGCGCAACTACATGTGTTTTATTTTTGTTCCATCTTGCGAATGATGCGCTTGATACATTGCGTACATAAAGTTGTTGTCAGATGGCTGCACGGAACGGTTTCACTTTCCAGAGTTGTTAGCAGAGGGCTGTGATGTTCAGTAGCTTAAATGCCACTTCTCCTCAAGTGACTTTCAAAGTGCTCGTGAAGGTTTAGGTTTTACTCTGCAAATACTAGAAATCAGGCTACATCAATAGGAAATCTGGCCACCTGCCTCGTACTGCTCTATTCTCGCCGAAACAGGCCACATCAGACAATAAAAATACTCTCCAGATTGAATTCATGTTGAGTGTGGTGCTTAGCGGCCACTTTAGGCTTTTGTAGTGGAAGGTCGGTTCTTATTCTGAATCTGAGTTGATCCTGGCTGGGAGTCTTCGCAACACACGCACAGTATACCTACATGAACGTGCTTGCCTTTCGGAAACTTGAAGGCTTTCGGGATCTGGATCTGCCCCAGATCTGCCTTCTTGTTCACAATGAATGCGCCTGTATCAGACTACAGTGCATGATTGCTTAGCCAGACGCTCACAGCCAGCATGGCCGGTATGGCACTGACTGGCGGCCATGGCCGGCCCTCTGCCATGCGGACTGTAGAAAGTATGTCTTGAACTTGGCATAGCCCGGGGAGTTCTGCCATGTACGCCCGTCCCGGGAGAAGCACACAGATCTGCAAATGTACTGGATGCTCAGCTCAAGGCATACATGTACAATGTTGTTCGTCGGATGGAGGAATCTTAACCATTTTGTTTTCGGCCTGAACTCCGGGAGCAAATCAGGGCGAGGTGATGGAAGAGAGCAATGAAAGCGGGAAGAAATGGTTGAAGTAACAGGTTAGTTAGTTGCGGAGAGGAAGGCCAATACAGTATCGGAGCGGAAAGAAATGGTTGAAGTAACAGGTTAGTTAGTTGCGGAGAGGAAGGCCAATACAGTATCGGAGCGGAAAGAAATGGTTGAAGTAAAACGTGACTTGTTTTAAAACCAGCGACAACTAAGATGAAGGGGCTACTGACGCTCTCTAGTACAGCCTTGTCGAGTTTATGCTTGTTGATTATAGTAGCACTGGTTTCACAGATGAAAACCTATTCGAAAACAGAGTTACCAGTTTACTCGAGAACAGAGCTGCTGGTTTCAAACCTAAAGCCTGAGTTGTTTCCTTGTCTATCCTAGCACACACTGCAAACTGAGCACTTGATTATGGCAATTCCAGCCACTGTTCGTCTAGTGGCGGATAGCGCATACAAGGTCGCAAAACCTTGCGAACTTATGGGAAGAAAGGAACTACAATTTACGCTATAATGTCCACAAACACCACGAGTGACTTGACGATCAGCTCATGCGATAACATTGCACAATACTGACCAACGGTACTGACGTTCTACAGCCACATGTAACTGCATGGCATTACTGTCTAAAGTAACACTAGTTACCTGCACAGCAGCCCTCTGCTTTCTTCAACTTAAACTCTTATTGGTACCTCTCCGGCCCAGGCAAAGCATCGGGCTGCTGTGTGGTAACTATACAATTAGCTCTAACACGTCTTGGATGCGCACTCCAACAGCCTTCCAACTGTTACTTGGAAGGTTAGAACATACCGTAGGAGGGGATGTTAGTTGCGGTGTCGTCATGTATGTCGATGACGACACTGGCAAGATCATTGGACAATACGGTCCAAACCACGATTCAAGGACGCACAGCAACATAAATGTGCATGTACATGTACCACAGAATTGAGTAGTGTGGCTCTAAGATTCGAAGATCGATTGGAGGGGAAGCTAAGCGAACATCAATCCATGGGGATTGTACATGTATGCGTGCATACAGGTAAAACAGCAAACAGAGCTTTAGCGCAGCAAATTTTGCTAAAATGGAAATAAATAACGGAAAGAACACTTGGGTGTTATCGGGAAGATGGTACTGACCGTTGTGAAACTGTGGAATATACTATTTGGAAGGGCACGTTGATTATTATTTAGCCTCGTGACTCCATTTCTTTTTCATGGATTCACACAGGACTGAACTTTTGGTCTAGTTTGGTCTGGCTCACCGTTTGTATGACAACACCCACGAGATCCAGGTACATCACACAGGATGCTGTCACCAACACAGTTCCTACTAAAAACTACTACTAAAACCTTGACAAATTCAAATTCATTAGTTGAGTGGATGGACCTATTCAGTCTTCATTTGGGCTACTGATCGTCCATCTCATCATCCGTGCCAGCGTTGACACAGCCTGCCTGCTTCCTTCGAAGCTTCAGCGCCACGCGATGCAGCCATGAGAGGAACACCATTAGCACCGCCATTCCTGCATACAGCACGCCTATGGATGTCAGGGCCAAGGGAAAGCCAAGGATGGCCACCGTGGAGGTGAAGATCAGCGATCCAAGTGCATGTCCCGAGGTTAGAGAGAATCGTGATAGGCTAGCCACGGCAAAGCGTAGCTCCACTGCATTACCCACACCGATATGCTCCAGATGCTGAGACATACTCACCACGCTGGACGCCTGCATCAGTATGTTGGTGAGACTCAAAGGAGAAACTCCGACAAGTAACTGCCATAACGGCGGCGTCTCGTGCACAAACACAATCGGTCCAATGACGAAAAGACCCAGTGTCTCGCACAGCATGCCCACTATAATGAGCAACGGCGGGTAGACTCCGTGGTCGAGGAGAGCGCCGACGAACAGCGAGGCTACACTCGTGCCGATCCCCTTGACCGCTATCACCGCGCCGACCACCACCGCCGGGGAGTTCAGCGTGCTATGCATGCGCGGGCCGAGAACTGGATCCACGCCGGTATTACCGATATTGGCCATGGCCAAGGTCACTGTCATCAGCCACACCCAGGGTGAGCGTAGTATAGTACCGACTCTGACCAGCTTCACCTCCTTTCCTCCGTTGCGTTTCTTCAGGTTCATGCTGTCAATATCGATGAGCAATACGAACAGCACAGAGCACACCACTAAGTTTACCGTGCCGCCGAACAGGAACGGTGCCTTGAAGCCCCCAAAGTCGTAGAACGCTCCGCCGACCATTACGCCCACGACGTGACCACCGGCAAGACAGCCCATCTGAAATGCGCTCACGAAGCCGAGGTTGGTCGGATACATGGCAATGAGGTACGTCATCACCGTCATGGTCTGCATCACGAATGCAATGCCGAGCAAAATTCGTATGCAGAACGAATAGGCAATAAACACTCGCCAGTCGGTAATGGTAGTGACGCTGGCGAACACCAGAAGTGACGATCCTGTGATGAAGTGGCTGAGGACAATTAAATTTTTACTCCCGATGTTGGGTAGATCTTTGATCAAGAGTGGTATGGAGCAGGCTCCGGCCACCATGAAAATACTATAAGCGCCGCCAATAAGTGTGTGATACCCTGGTCCTGCACCGGGGTTCTTGTCCAGGGCTGCTGTTGTGTAGAACGCTGGCATAGACGTGAGATCACCGCTCACGGAAGCTGCAGCCAGCGTGGCCACGATGAGTATGCGTCTTGCTGGTGATATCCCGCCATCATCACCGCCATCACCGCCGCCATGAAGCTCGCCGTCATCGTCTTCGCTTGCAGCGTCCAGCAGAGATTTCTCTGACTCGACATCACACTGGCCGGTGGCGGACACCGGTCGACTTCCACTGGACTTCAGCATGATCTCCGATCAAGGGACCGGTGTGTGGTTATCTGCAAATCGGTCACCTCGATCGCCATATTACGTGTAAAGTCTAGAGGATGGCACGGACACTTCGCTTTTATCTACTCCTAGTAGGGCCGGAGATCGACCAGGTCGGCGGAGTCGATAGTTCTGACATTCGCCATTCCTGCTCCAGCGACTGTAGCTGGTATGAAAACAGTATCATTTTCATGTACGTGCTTAAACGCCTTGGGGCGACTGGCCGAAGACACGAATGATCACTCACGTGATCACTACACACCGTAACACAGTAGACCCAGGTGCTCGAAGTCCGGACACTTTTACACTTACAGTGTGTGTTTGCCGAGCTGAAACTATTACTTACACTAGCAACGATCACTTGCCAGAATCCTGCTCGTAGATGGAAGGTATCTTGTCCAAGTTTGTTCTGAGGCCAGGCTCGATTGAACCAGGCCATCTTTCGATCCGATCTGTTTCTCTGGAGTTCGCTGATTTCATATCAAATTTTGGTGTCGCAGAGGGTGCGCTAAGTCCGTACGGATCAGAGGTGACTCCAAATACACACATATTTCTGCTAATTGCTAACTTGCAATCCCTCGGTTACGACGAAAGCACCGAAGCGATATGTTTGGCATGTGCCTCCACCAGTATTTCTTGCATAAGCGTTGTTTGTTGCCGAAATGCAAGCTGTTTTTAGTCGGCTCAGAGAAGAAGCAGCTGCGCTGTGAAAACCGCGGGAAAACAGTGGTGGAGATGCCAGGAGTGTCAACCTTTCTGCAATGATTGGTGGTTCTCTGTAAATAATAATTCTTCTCCTCTGGCCATTCTCAACTCTAAGCTGGCTCTTGATGATTGAGTGAAGGTCTGTTTGACGCTGTGTCCGTTCGACATCGGTCTTGGCAAAGTTGATTTTTGCATGAAATGTAACCCAATTTGTATTTCGTATGGACACTCGAAAACCCACTCGCGTGGTATGGGACTTCTGCTTATCGTAGATCCCTGAAAATTGCTACGCGACGAGAACATACCACACTGTCCCCTCCATAAAATATTTGAGTCGAATACAATAACAGAACATGAAATAAATTATGGGCGTACGAACTTAGGATAGCGCTATAGCATGTACGGACTTCGAGCACCTGGGTCTACTCTAGCCTAGACTGATAAAGTATGGAAGTCGTTGTGCACTTGGCCCTGATTGGTGTACACGTGCACCAGGTGTGCAAACATCACGACGTATTGCACACCTAGTACCTACCATGCACCCATGTACCAGTGCCAGCGAGTCGCGCGTGTTGGCTGTGAACACACTAAACACTAAACACCCAATTATGTGTCTAGTAGTTCGCCTAGGTTCTTGCTCTTAGCAATCAACATTAGCGGACTGATTCTGAAAGAATGTACAGTACATTGTCAGTTGATGTACTTCTCATAAAAAAACTCTGTGTTGCTCCACAGTCTTCATCCTCTTCTTCTTGGATGCTTGCGAGTACATTGCTGAGCTGCATAGTACTAGTACTAGTAACTGGTGCAGCAGCTGCATGACTTGTACTGGTGTGCAGGAATAATAATTGGCTCGCAGAACGTTGGACCCAAGAATGTCCAGCCTGAAAAAATAAAATATGCTAGCAATACCAACCAGAATTATGCAACTCAGCATCCATGATGTGGGTAGGTCACCTTTACAATCCGTGTTATATCCCATAGCGAATGTGATACATGTACATGTACATGTACATGTACATGTACATGTACATGTACATGTACATGTACATGTACTTCAGTATATACATGTACATGTACATGTACTGAGTACATGTACATGTCGGCATTGGCGGATAATGCTCGAAAAGGTGGCAGATTCTGCTCGAAAAGCAGTGAAATTGGCAGAACCATACAAACCTTATGGCGGGCAATTCCTCGAATTCAGCTCCATTTCTTTATCCACATACCAAACATGCATGAAACATACCAGAAAAAGTACCGAATTCTGCCATTTTTTCTGCCGGCATTTTCCGCAAAGGCCTACTTCAGTACCAATACCAGCAGTCAGCGCAAAATGGCTTGGTATGTGTACGGTAGGTGTCAGGGATCATCTTGCCCCTTTTTTGGACAGCCTGGCTACGTTCCCGCTAACTAGTGATGGAACGAATGGTGTTTTCTTCTAACGAATAATCTCCGCTCGAATAGCTTTACTTTAGGGAACACACGAATATTCGTCTATGTGACTCATTCCCTTCACTAAAATAACCTCCAGGCCGTGCCGGATTACGTCATGTACATGTACATGTACGTTCAATGTTGAGAGTGACTCAGTGTGGGTAGTTGCCTCCCTTGCCCTCGAACCGCACTTTGTATTATATTATTTTACGAATTCTTGATTCTTGCCTAGATCGATGCCCACTGACTCACACGGTCACACTACTGGCTGCCTGCTCAGTAGGAATCCCGACGGCGCACCGACAATGCTTCCGCAGAGCGATCATCCACAGAACGACGTTTCATCAAAAGACACTGGTTCGCACAGTGTACGATTCAGCGCCTGTTCATTTCGCCAATTTGAGAGCCGCCCCATACTTGAATGCGTAGAATTCTACTCATACAACCCAGAATAAGATTGGGGGAAAGCTGGGGGCTTTATACTCTTGATACAACTGTGAACCTTCAACAGGCCGTGACTCGGAGAAAACTACATGATTGTACATGTAGGTCAAATTCAACGATCCCAATATCTTTTCAATTTGGTCGCAATAAGGAGGTTTATCGACAGCATGTTCGACAGCATTTCGCCTAATTCCTGTCTATGAGGCAGCTGGTACATGGTATCAGCATAGTGAAAGTATAATACAGGAACAGCAATTAAAACTTACAGTACCAGTTTATATACAAGATTAACCCTTTAATTTAAGAGCCGCCCCATACTTGAATGCAAACCTTCAAAAGATCGTAACTCAGTCCAATCTCGCTCAAATCCAGTGATCGAAATATCCAGAGCGAAGAGAAAACTCTCACCTGTCGGGAGAAACAATCCACGAAGCGCTGCGCGCAACGGTTCCTGAGATAAATCACTCGTAAGTTGAGCCGCGATCTCGGCAATTTCAAAACCGCGCAGTGCGACTTTAGTATTGAGAATTTTGAGACTTTTCGTCACGCTGGTTTACTCGAATTTGCACAGGTTTCACTGTTGATATTGGCAAGAGTACACAGCGAAAAAATTGGAACTCCACGATCGTGTAAAATGAAATATCTGGAGCGGGACGCAATTGGACGCATTTGGGGCATTTTTCGTACTGTCGCTGCGATCTAGCTCCGGATAGACGGTGTGCTGGCTATCATGATCGACCTCATTCTCTTCCTCTCGCGGAGACCTTTCCAGGAAGCCCTAGATTGTGAGGATTGAGTGAGTAGAACTGAAGCTATGATCCAAGGAACACGAAAAAATGCAGAATTTTGAAATTTTCCTGTGGCTCGTTAATGAACAAAGTCATTTAGAGTGCGTTTGTTCCCTGATCCAAATTCACTTTTGTCTACAAAGCAGCTAGTGCTGACATAAGTCAGTGTTCGGTCGGTCCTTCATCCGAATTCAAGTTATGCGATCAAGTCCACCGACTAAACCAGATTTTTAACAGTCCGACGTGCACAATCTAGCACAAAACTGGCACGGAGTACTGAGACATTCCAGGGCATGAAAGTTAGCTTGAGCACTGCTCGATAGCGCTAACCAACGGCCTTCCAACTTGGACGGTTCATGGATATTAGTCCGTCCATCATTGTCATCAACTACATGTAAGTACAGTACTGTAGGATACTGGCGTTCGGGTTGTTACAATTCGTCCTCGCGAAGCTTCCCGTTCATATTCTCATCTCTGATATTCATAATATTGAGCCTCCCAATATGGGTGGTTGTTGCTTTGACCGTTCTGTCTGGTCTTGCCGTCCCGTCATCATACCAGGCCAGCATTCCATGAAGCCTTGGAATGTAGCTTGTGCTCGGCTCGATGGCACTCGCCTTCCCCTCTTTGGAATTATCACTAATATCCATGAACCTTCCAAGTTGGAAGGCCGTTGGTTAGCGCTATCGAGCAGTGCTCAAGCTGACTTTCATGCCCTGGAATGTCTCAGTACTCCGTGCCAGTTTTGTGCTAGATTGTGCACGTCGGACTGTTCAAAATCTGGTTAGTTGATGGACTTAATCGCATAACTTGTGCCCACAATTTCCATGTTACAAAGTCTTCAAGTTCTTCAATATTCGGAGGCTCCACTGTAGCTACTGTACGTATCATACTGTATACACTCTGATGAAGCCCCAATGCCAGTGGCAGAGATTACTGCAGTGTATGTGTAGGTGCATGACATCATTATTGTGTGTACACCAGTCCGCATGCGCGGTCTCTGAATCTGCATAACTTCTAGTGGAGCGGGGTTCTTTTCCCGCGCCTTGCTTGTTTTCGGACTGTTCTTCCAGATGTACTTGTAATGGTAGTTTTCTCCGACCCTGTGATTGTGCTTTGCTGAACCCGATATAACAAGTGGCGACGAAGATCGGATCATGGCGCTGCTCGGAAACCTGGGCCCCTTCACATCTACGGATGCTGATGACTGGGAGTCTTATCTGGCCAGGCTGGATCAATTCTACAAAGCGAATAAAATTGAGGACGGGCGGAAGAAATCTGTATTCTTGACAGTTGTAGGAGAAAGTGTTTTCAGGTTGCTAGTGACGCTGATCGCACCAGCAACACTGGATGACAAGTCCCTCTCAGAGCTGCGACAGACTCTGACTGCACACTTCTCCCCTAAGCGTCTGACAATTGCGGAACGCTACAAATTTTGGAGCCGCAGCCAGCAGGCAAGTGAGAGTTTTCATGACTATGCCGCTGAGCTACGACGTTTGGCAAAGACCTGTGACTTCGGCAATGGTCTGGAAGATGCCATCCGCGACAGGTTCGTCTGTGGCATACGAGACGCTGTCGTTTGTAAAAAATTGCTGACCATCGATG